CAAATCATCCAGGGACAAGATTAGTTTGAAAAATAATTTTTTCTTGAACGAAATCTATTATTTTTTTAAGTAATTATGACTCTATTGTAATGTTATTTCGAATTGTTTAGCTATGAATGGATATATTTAATATTGAATAAACTTAAAACTGAATATAATGAATATCGCATAGTAGTAATAAAGGTTTACAGATACAAAAAAAAGTGTTATTTTTGTATATAAAGTAAGGTTTTGAATTGAAAGTATCAGCTGATTTTGGAAGAAATAAAACATTATCACTCAGAAAATGTAAAAATATTGTTATGGTGTATTTAATAGAATGGAAAACAAAACTTGTATGAACAAAATTCATATCACAGAATAGAAATTAAAATTAATGTAATATATTTAATTCTCATTATATTTTAACAATAATTTATTAGATAATTGAATTATATTGTTAACTTTCTTTAACAGATTAAACAAAGATGAAGTATTTATGACAATTGTTCTGATCCACATACTCTTGGTAAAAATAAAGCAATGATCTTTTGGGTGTTATAAAATTGTTATAAATGCATTAATATGTATGGTGATAGTGAAAATTTTACATTCAGTTAATTGCTGCTACTATTATTATTATTTTTTATTTATTTATTTTTTTTTGCACTGAAAATGTTTGTTTAATAAATNTTCGAATTTGTTATTGCGTATTGGTTCGATTATAGAACGATTGTAAACGTTTCAGAAAATTGATCAAATTGAAAATAGTTCGTTTGATTTTCGGCAATTCTCTTCAGCGGTAGGTGTTATATAACAATTACTATGGTTATTGAAATATTGGATGTAAATGGGGTTTGCTTGCAAAACCTCCGCTGACGAAGTCGCGGGTAACAGCTAGTATATAATAAAATCTATTAATTAAAAAAATTAAAAAACTATTGGAGGTCATTTTTGACATCAGAAAGTAGCTTTAAATAACTTTACCGAAGGAAAATCCGTGCGCTTAGAACTTTAGAACGATGAATTAAATTTGATAAAAAAAAATCCCATTAAAAACAATTAAGCCTTAATCGAGCCTTATCAAAGGCTAATTAAAATCGCGATAAAATTTTTTCGCGCGGGCAAAAATTTTTGCAAAAATGTGGACCTAGAAAACATTCCAAAAATTGAAAAAAAATATATTAAAGTTCAAAAGTTTGTTTCTCTCATTTCCTTTCCCTACTCCTTCCCTCTCTTCCCCCACTTTTAATTTGGTTTTCGCCAGCATCTTGTCGTCGCCAGTTGTTTTTATTTCTCATAATTTGCGTTCGGCTGCCAGTGCGGCGCATAGCTAATTCTGTTTTCAAATTCATTTCTGCTTGACGCATGAATTTGTGATGTGATCTTTTTTAAAGCAGATAAATTTAACTCCTAGTATGCAAGCAAGCATCGAATTGGTGAGTAAAATGAAGAAAAGATTCTTCGCAAACCTCTTTAGCGAAGATTCAAAATATAGTGTTTTAATGACAAAACGAAAGTATGATTCCATAATTGAAGATGTAAAGCGAATAAAAGTTTTCAAGAAGAAAGAATCATCTCGAGATTATCGAATAATTCAAGGTATGATGTGTTGACTGTACAAGGTTGTGAAAAACTCATTGAGCCGTTGTCAGATGCGCGAGAAAGTGTGAAAAAGTTTGTCCATGCTGAAGAATTGTTTGACATATTTTATTCGACTCATTTGTCAATTGGCCACAGTGGAAGAGACAGAATGATCAAGAGATTAAAAAAACATTTTATAAAAACATAACCAAGCCCAAATAAAAATGTTTTTTGTTTTTGTTGACAAGGTTCGCATAAATCCAAAAAGTTGAAAAAAGGGCTTGTTGTAAAGCCAATTATTTCATCGCATTTCAATAGCAGATGCCAGGTGGATCTCATCGATTACCAATCTCAACCAGATGGAAAGTTTAAGTTTCTTCTCATATACCATGATCACTTAACAAAATTTGTTTTATTAAAACCACTCACATCAAAACAGACGAAGTAGCCTATAACTTGCTTGATATTTTTCTTTTTGGCGCTCCAATTATTTTGCATTCTGATAACACGTGAATTTTGTAATAAAATCTTAGAATGTGTAACACAGTTGTGGCCATAAATCAAAATGGTTAATGGCAAACCTAGACAGCCAAAATCAAGTGTAGAACGAGCGAATCAAGACATTGAAAACATGCTAACTACTTGGATGACTTATCCATTAGTTTGATGACTGATAATCAAACTAAGTTTGATTATCAGTCATCAAACTAAGTTTGATTATCAGTCATCCAAGTAGTTAGCATGCTTAGTTTGATTATCAGTCATCCAAGTAGTAGTCTAACAAGTGGAGTGAGGGCGTACAATTTGTACAATTCATGAAGAATCGTGCCTATCATTCTGCAATTAAAAAAAGTCCATACGAAACCATGTTCGGTTGTCCCGCAAAAGTGGGATTATCTTCTATTATACCACAAAGTGTATTACATTTGATAAATACTGAAGAAGACCTTGAAAAATTAGAAGATTCTTGTGAATCTTCTAATTTTGTGTTATTTTTGACTGTTATTACGGGATCACAGTCAAATCTTATCCAAGATGATATTCCGTTATCCCCTACTTCTACAGAATCACCTATAGAAATACAAGAATTTATCGATAGTAATCTTAAACTGCCTTCTACATCATTGTTTGAGAAATATTCAGTTACCCTGCACCTCCAAGGAATCACCTCTGCATGTTGAAGAAGTCATCACTGAGTTACCCTAAACTTTAGCAGAATAGCCATCGCAGTTTTGTACAGAGCCTGTAAAGAGCACTATACAAGACATACCCTGTATTGTTTGCTCAAAAGCAACATCAAGTGCTCAAGAGTGTAAATTGTGTGATATGTTTGTTCACGTAGCTTGTGGTGAAGTAGATCCTAAAGAGGACGGATATGGTAAGAATGTATTGTGCAACATCTGTAAAAAGAATATGGATCAGAAAATACAGCGTGATGAAGCCAAAAAATGTTTAGAAAAGCAAGCAAAGAAAATGTTAGCAGTTTCTAATACAAAGCACCCAAATGTCGATGAAGCTGTCACTGTGAGAATTAAAGTACCTGAAGAAGACAGAGCAAAAAGTGATGCATGCTCAATTGTAGCTGTGGTTCTTAGTAAAACAGAGGATGGCTTTTATAAACTTGGTACTAAAAACGGGTATCTTAAAACAATTGTATGCAAAATCTGAATTCAGTGTTTGCAAAGAGAAATTTTTGACAAAAGATGATAGATGTCCCTGCTGTAGAAATATCTTTACGTCAAACAGCAATAAAGCAATCCCTTGGTACTGGGCAGGGTTTCAGAAAATGTGACTGCAAATCTAAATGTACCAGAAATAGGTGTGCTTGTCGCAAAAACCGATTGCTATGTAATTCAAAGTGTCACCAATCTTTAGATTGCACTAATAAGTAAGTACAATTTTATCATATGTTTTGCAAATTCATTTCCCTAATTGTAATAATATTTTAAACCGTTTGATTTTTTGTATTACAGTTTTTTTAATTGATTGATTCTATCAACTAAATTTGTTGATTGTATTAACTTGATTCTTTAGATATCAATAATTAAATAAATAACATTATGTTAATTTAAGCGTACAGAAACGTTGCTGTTGTTCCAGCAAAGATCTTATTTTTACTTTACCGAGTGCCTAGTAGGTAATGTGCAGAGTAGGTAATGTGCAGATTACCTAGATACTCTGCACATTACCTGGATAATTTGAGAAATGGAATAATTTTCGCACCTTTAACGGATCACCCTAGTTAATCTGTAGATTAGCTAGGTAATGTACACATTAACGGCTTTCGAGCTTTAGCGGTAACAGATATATTATATCTAAATAAATAGATGTTATATATATGATTTTATCAAAGCGAGAATTGGCATTTAGAGGGCATATGGAATATATTGGATCTAATAACAGAGATAATTATATTGAACTTGTTTATTTATTAATTACGTCAGATAAAAAATCTATTAAAAATACATTTAAAGAAAGAATTAACTGATTGCCCCTGGAAGTCGGCTTCTTATAGAAACACAGCTTCCCTGTCATCAAATGTCACGGCATGCCACTGATTGTTTGATTGAGATATCTAATCCTTTCCATTCACGTCTGAAACGCTCTTTAAATTTCCGATCAATACCCTTCATTTGGACCCTCACATTCTTAAGTTAATAACTTAAGTTGGAAAAAAGTTTCAAGATAACTCTCATTTAGTTTGAGGACCCTGAAATTTTTACTGCTTGGGACCCCACTTGATTTGATCCGCCACTGGTATACCTATGTGATATTTTCTTTTATTTTTCAAAAGTGCTATTTTTTTATTATAATTCTACTGAATTAGCAACATCAAGTTTAAATAAGTGATTTTTATTTAGTAACTGATCTTTAAACTGTTTAATAAAACACATTCAGTATACTTCAGTTCAAATGAATAAACCCAGTAAAAGTCAATGTTATTGACATTTTTCTGCAAAAACGTTAGTTCAGAACCACAACCTGAATCTAGCAGTGCAAAAGGTGATACATAAAGATAAAAGTGACCTTCATTGGACAAGGAACTTACTCAACAGACTAAAAAGGCTACATTGGGAATCCGATTAAATTATGTACAGTATTAATTTATTAGTTTGGTTTTCGTTCTTTGATATTTGGCCCAATAAAGTGGCTGCCCCAATTAACCGGTGGCCCAATTAAACGGAATCGACTGTATAATGATAATTCAGTGACATCTCTATAGTAACCATTAAAATTATTCAAGATCGCTTTAACTGCACATACAAAAATAAAACTTTACTAGGTCTTATCCATGTTTTATTTTCGGTTTGTTTTGCGAAATAAAAGCTAACTAATAACATGAAAAAATTTTTCTCACTACAAAACATAAACCCACTCTGCTGCAAAATTCTTTATTGTACATTTTTTTATACAAAGTTATTAAATAAATCTAGAATAACTCATTTTTTATTTGACATTACAGTATTTATAAAATTTATTAGTTAAAAATAATTGGAGAAAAAAATTCCAACAGATTAACATTTTTAGAAATTGCAGTACCTGATTTAAAAGAATGGAATGAATAAGTACACGTTAGGACATTTTTATCACATTCATTTCAATGCAAAGTATTTATACCGAGCCCACACACTCGAAAATATTCAGACAGTGACGTGCTCCATTCCTATATACAGAAACGATCCTATTTACACTTTTAAATTAAGTACTACAGATACTTAACAAATTAAAAAAATAATAACTTCTCTGAACAAACTAAGTATATTTCAGAAATTGCACTTTAAAACTACAATTTCTAGAAATATATACGTATACAAAAAAAGAAATTAAATCACAGTAGGCCTATACAATATACCAAAATAATATCCCATTTACACTATACAAATTTTAAATTAAAAAAAATTTTCTTCCCTAGGTTTCATTATGTAAAATAAGTAAGAAATGAAGAAAATTATATTGCACAACCATCATTGGTAATTCAATTTAAATAAAATACTGATACATCATAAATTCTTTGGTGCACTTTCGGGGAAATGTGGGCGTGGAGAAGCTTTCATTGTAGCAGTAACGACTTGTCTCTAAAATAGCAGTCAAGTCTTGTTTTACCATATTCCTGGAAACAAAAATATTTAAATTAATATATTGAATTGCTTAATAAAATTTCAATTTTCATCTTATTTTAAATTTTTACTTGAATGCTTTAACAAACTTGTAATTTCTTTTCATAATTGTAGCAATTTAGAAGTCAGAAATGAAATAATAATGAATGTAAGATGATTATTAAATCCATATAGAAAAAATAAAAATTAGCATTGCAGTGGTGGCCTGCAGCTGTCTGATATCGGATGCTGAGTAATTATTACTATATTTTGCAAAACTATATATACAGTATCTTTCAAAATGAATGCTACTATTTTGAATCAGTGTACTTATTGGATAATAATTACAACAATCAATGTAATTGTCTGAGTTTAATCTCCCATCTGCAATCAAATGTATAGTCATCTGCTACATGTAGAAAGTGCCGTAATCAAAAATGGTAAATTTGCAACTGTATTCTGCTATTAGCAATCGGAGTAACTCGTCATTGTGCAACATGACTAATCTGCAAGAGCTGTAGAATTGTGGCTGCTGTGGGAAGAGCAACAATGGCTATGTTCAGCAGACTCAACAGTTATAACTGACCAAATTGGTAGATGTTACATAGCAACCTGGATCTGCTGAATGATGAATGACATTGCATTGAAACAAAAAGCCTCATTGGTCAGCTTCAGGTAGCGATAGGTAATGTAAATGAAAGACACTACCAAATGTGATATCAAAACACCAAACATGTTCTGAAAAAGAACTACTGTAAAGGGTGTTCAGCAGAAAAATACTCAACAGCTCTGGAACTGTTGAGTCTGCTGAACACAGCCAATGAATATGCTGTAGCAAGCATCTCCTTTGACACAAGACACACACATTGAAAAAATTGTAATGGGTTAACATAAAACTGAGTTTTCCAAAGTTTTAATGTACATTGCAACATTTTGGGCAATAATTAACATAATTAGAATAATTTAAAATGGTAGCATTCTTTTTGGTAAATCTTTATTTTAATTTAAACTTTTGAAACTTACATTACAAGTCTTTTCTTACTAATGTTTACAAGTTACAGAGTACTCTGACATTGCAGTGCAGTCTTGAGTGTTTCACTGTATCACAAGACAGTAGCCAAACTCTGAGTGTGAAAGAGTACTGTTGCAGGAGGCTGTGCAAGCAACAGGCTGGTAACTTTGTATTATGTAATTTTCCTATTTGAATGCCACCATACTGCTGGGTCCAATAGGAAGAAAAGAGTGTTGTGAAAGGGGTTTGAAGTAATTCAATCAAAAGTAGTTGTCAGCCTCCTCCCAGAAGAGAGGATGTCAATGAATACTAATAATTAGTAGGAAGACAGACAGAGGGAGGACAGTGTAAATTTATAGGTTTCAAATTGCAACCCAATAATTTTGATATAAATGCAATATTTATGTGAACATACTTTCCATGTAGCTTATATACTAAATAGTTATATAACTTATATATAACTATTAGTATTAATTATTATATTTTATATATTGTTTATATGATTTTTTTATAAATATATAATATATTTTNAAATTGAAGGGACTGAGCCGAGATAGTGACAAGTTACATTTGTGGACAAATTGAACTAATCATGACAGCTTCACGTAAACACAACAGGCTTGAAGAATGTGCGGAAAATACCAGTAGATAGCCGGATATGTCATAGGGCTTCGTCTTGCCCTGAGTCGAAACTTTCTAGAACACGGGTTCCCAACCTATGGGTCGCGACCCAAAGGGGGTCGCATCGAGTTTTCTGTGGGGTCGTCAACTTATGCAGTAAACTAAAGAAAATTTTCACTATAATGCAGTATTTATTTTTAATGGTGCCTTGAAGTTTGAATAATTTCATATATTTTTTAAAACTTGAAATAAGTGTAATCTGGGTAGCTATTCTGTCACAGTTGCTTGAAACATGTGTTGAGAATTTTGAGAGGAATAAATTAAATGTTGAGAATGATATGAGGTTGGCGTTAACAAAATTTCACCCGTGAATTTTGAGGCTGGTTAATAACATGCAATTTCAACCATCGCATTAAATTAATTATTAAACATAATTTAAAATAAAATTATTCTGAAAAACTAATTTCGTTTTTTTAATTACCTTATTAAAATTGCTTTTTTTAATTGTATCGGGGTCGCGGGTCACTTGGCTTTTATAAAAAGGGATCGCCATCCAAAAAAGGTTGGGAACCGTTGACATAAAACTTGTTTAAATAAAAAAAAATCTTTTAAAAATGTGAGAATAATTGCATTTATGTGATAATAAAGTGTTTATATTTTTGCTACAGATTATATAAATTACATGGAAAGTATGTTCACATAAATATTGCATTTATATAAAAATTATTGGATTGCAATTTGAAACCTATAAATTTACACTGTCCTCCCTCTGACTGTCTGTCTTTCCTTAATCTTGAGAATGTAGTTACATAAATGAAAATCTAGATCAAATATGGAAAGCTTGGGGCAGGAGGTCCAGATCAACTATATATGAACTTCCAGTTTGAACCAGAAGTCACATTACTGCAATTCAAAATTTCCCCCAAACAAATCACTGCAAAAATTAAAAGGTCCAAAAAAACAAAATATACTTTAATTCAAAGCTAACAGCTTCATTAGAGGTTAGCAAAGCTACATAGATAAAAAGAACCAGCATCCTCTCCAAAAAAACAAACAAAAAAAAAATGATATAAGAAAATCAACTCCCAAAACAAGAAAAAAGATGAAAAGAAACCAAGACATCTAAGAGAATTGTGAGGAAAAATTGCAGCCCGACATTGTGACCACGTCACAATAAATAATCGCTCATTAGAATTAGTTTGGTTTATTTAGTTATGGCAGTGCAACCCGTGAGCAATCTGCCAAGGGAAATGCATCCATAAAAGTCTTTCCAAGGAAGACTTTTATGGAAAGCTGGACCTTATTTAGGTGTTTCTAATGTGAATAAAACCCGGAAATCTCCATGTGGCCAGCCCATTGGCGATGTCCAAACTCACGACTAACTAACTACCAGTATTCAATAATTTTATCCATTCAGCTACCAGAGGGCACTTATTGGAAAAAAGTACAATTCAGAAATGAAAAAATCCAAGTTGTTAGATGTGGAAAATTAAATACTTTAGACTTTTCACAGGGTAACATTTTGGATTCCAGGCAGGCAAGTGCTATATGCTACCTGTCTCAGTAATGATATAGCATGTCTATTTTGCAATATATTATTGTCACAGAAATTAAGTGAGTATAACATATATATTTTAAAAAATGATATCCTTTGTTTGTAAGAAGTATATTTATTTTATAATTTTATTTAATTTTTTGCCAATAGATAGTACTAAATGTAAATCAGCAAATCAAATGTAGATTGAAATTACAGTAGAGTCCTGTACAACGCGGGGGGATTCGTTACGCATTATAGAAAATTGTGTTATCGAAACCTGCATTATCATACGATTTATGAAAGTTTAAACCTTGGCCTATGAGTTGAAAAAAAAAAAAAGTATACCTCTGATCGACAAAATTCAAGGGTGTTGCTTGCTTTATTTGCGCATTGTACAGGACTCTACTGTAATTGATTTACAGTAGTGATGTAACGAATATTCGGTTACTATTCGGTATTCGGCCTATTTTTCACTATTCGGCCGAATACCGAATATTTAATCACTATTCGGCCGAATACCGAATATTTAATCACTATTCGGCCAAATACCGAATACCTAAAAACAGAAGTTATAAACAACAAAAAAACAGTAAATTAATCATTTTGGTATTTAGAGTTAATGTTATAGAGTTAGTGTTGTTTGTTTATATTTATTTATAACTTGTAACATGCACAAAATAAAAAAGAAAATAATATTAGTCACATGTATTCACAATTTATAATTACAAAGATCAGCACACATACAGTACAGTACAGTACACGTCTATCGTTGGAGAATCCTCGCACATCTGAGGGTCTGACCCTGCCTATACTTCTTTATAAGCGCTCGTCTTTGCTCTTCCCTTTCTCTTTCCTCTATCCCTCTAATCCATGTATGCCTGTGCATACATCACAATATGCGCTCACGATACTTTCGATTCGCCACTTTTCCGTCGTAGAGTTCCCATTTTACAATTACGTGACTCATAGCCTGGTGATAATGGAAAAGAGAGACAGATAGGACGTCGATATAAGTCACAGTTATGATTTCACTGATTCGAGATAGCTTGGTAGACCGAACGGTCCCAGGTTTTCGCCCGTGCACGCTAAGTGACTTTCATTACAAGCATTTAGCTTTCCAAAGTCTATGACAACAATTGTTTGGCATTCACGGCCGCGAATTTCGCGCCAATAAGCTACTTCGACTCGTTCGATTATGTTATCGACTCAATTTCATATTTATTTTCACATTTTCACTTCGCGGTCCTTCTCTGTTCTTTCTCCGTTATTTACATGTGTAGAACATTTCATTGTTATCCACATTTGATATCATTACTTATCACATACTGCCATGACGCTCATGTCTGTCCGCTTCAACTGTCAAGAATTAACGCGATTGGCAAAGCGTAGTGACAGCGGGCCAATAGAGAGCGGGGTCCTTGCCATAATGCAGTTTGCGCGCCAATTTTCGTACGTGCGATAATAGAGCCGAATAGTTTGGCCGAATATTCGGCTATTCGGCCACGCTCCTGGCTGAATATTCGGTATTCGGCCTGAGGCCGAATATACTATTCGTTACAACACTAATTTACAGACATTCAATAGATATTTTTGGGTCAGATGCATGACATTATCTANCATTAATCGAGCCGAATAGTTTGGCCGAATATTCGGCTATTCGGCCACGCTCCTGGCTGAATATTCGGTATTCGGCCTGAGGCCGAATATACTATTCGTTACAACACTAATTTACAGACATTCAATAGATATTTTTGGGTCAGATGCATGACATTATCTAAGTTAGAAGTACAGGAGGTCTAGATCAACTATATATGAACTTCTGTATGTGTACATGAATGTAACTGCTGAATTTGGTAGCAATTGGTTGAATGGCCTAGGAGTGTATAGCAAACAAGCAAACATTCTCATTTATATATATAAATTATTATTAACAAAAATAGTATTCTGTATAAGTAGCCATATTTTGTTTGCTAATTAAATTACATCAGTTACATGGCATTTGGATATTACATAGAAATATGTAAATCTCGGATAATTTGAAATCACAAATATTTCTTACCCTAACTAATGAGGATTTCCTGTATTTGCCATCCATGAATATAAACACCACATTATGATGTTTTATATTCAAGATGTTAGTTCTTGTTGAATGAATGTAATCTAATGTTTTAAACTTATATAGATTTAAATGCTAAATACCAACATTCTATAATCAAAACCTTCAGATGGAATATACTATGAGATGCACCAAAGCAATTTAATGAAAACAAAAATACTACGTACCCAGTAACCAAAGGTAATTTTAGAAGTCTGTGCATTGACAATGGACCACAGCATCCATAGGAAGTGAGATGCAAGGTTGAAAATTCTAATCTCTTCTAGAATGTTTTCTTCCGTGTTATAATGTATCAGGTCAGGATTTTTGTCAAACGAAGCAGCTTCTAGATAGTATCTGATGAAATGTAGCTAAAAATATGAAGTAATATAAAATAAAATAAATATTTATATGAATAAAGTTTATTATACTTGAAAAATATTCACAATATTTCAATGTGAAAATTGTATGATAGAATTTCTGTTTTGGACAAAATCATTTTTAATCGTCAGTAGCAGTAGTGAATCTTACATTTGTAAGTGCAAAACAATAATCACACAATAATAATAGATGTAAACATTAACTAGTTTATCTAGAAACATTTACTGTTGGTGCCTAACATAGTGTAGTCCAGCATTCTTCAACCTCTTCACACCAGTGGACTGGCAAAAATAGAAATAGTATTTCATGGATCATGCATGACCATACAGCTACGATAAGCAGTCTAATCACAATCTCTCATATTAATGCGCATGCATTGCTTATATTAATTATTATATTGTTAAAATATACAAGGATAAAACATTATTTACCCTAATTTCGAGAAATATCACAGATAATGTAATTAAACATTGTCCCACACTTCCTCTATTTTTCTTTTTTATATTTTAAGTTAACTTAAATTAGGTTAAAGATGAGTTTATGATATATCAGCAGATAAGCCTGGCATCGCCTGGGCAAAAAAACAACAACAAAAATTAAGATTATTAGATTATTTTGTACTTCTAATCCTTCTATTCTAATAGCCCAGGATGCCCTCTAGTGGGTGTTCTAGCAGCAGTGGTGTCATTCTGTGGTATATATAATAAATTCCTACTACGAATAAAAATAATATACTGAATTTCTCATGATGCACCCTACTGAAACACAGCCAAAAATGCAAAAAAAAAAAATCCTTAAGGGAGATGATCAATTTACTGAAGATGTTAAAATAAAGATTTAATATTGACATTTCCCTAATTAAATGAAGTGATTTGATCAAATCTCTAACTGGTTTTGTGAAATGACAAAAAGCAAATCAACAAAGTAAGAAGTACTTATATGAAAAGTTAGAGATAACACCAAGTTTATTTATTTTTATTGAAACAAACAGATTTGTGGCACCTGGAGTTACAGAGAACATTATTTTTTTTTATAGGCACATTTATTTGTTTTGCATTGCACCTTGGATTTTTCATAGGAACATTTCTTAAACACTTGACCTCCACATAAAGATAATTTTCCAGCAATTTCTTGCAAACTTAGCTTTATCTGTGGGACGGTTTCGGTAAATGTGGTTGTATCTATTTGAAGAGCGTTTCTAGGAAGCCAATCTTTTATAATGCTAGCTGAAGTACCAATTTGGTATAAACCATTTTTTTATAAATCTAATACTATCTCCATAATATTATTTCCATCTAATGGACCTCTATCTACCTTAGGTACTTCAACCAAAACTGTGGAATTCACTAACACGTCCTTAAATTTCTTCAATGAAAAATCTTCCATTTTTTCAGCTGATATTTTTAGGTATTTTGTGGCATGTTCCCTTTGATCTGTAATTTTCTGTTCTTTTTGGCATAAGTAGCATAAAGTTTTTGATCCTTATCCTTCTTCTACTTTATTTCCACATATTGTGTGTACTGGATTTTTACAAATGTTGCATAAATGGGCTCCAGTAGATTCTGTTCCACAAACAACACAATGTAGTTTTACTTCGCTGTCAACTGCTTCTGTTTTTGATTCTATTAACAGTACAGATGTTTAACTGGCGGTACAGGTGTTGTAGAGTTGTAAATTGATTCAAGCTGTGTTATTGGTTCAGTTGCTAGTAGATCCTCTAAATTTGAAGTTGACGCTTGTAGTTAATTAATTCATTTCTGGATTAACTTCTGAAGTTGAAGCGATGTAAGGAACCAAGTCCGAGCATTATTTTATTTACTTTTATTTTGCTTTTTATTATATTTTTGTTTGGGGCTTATGTTTTGTTAGGACGAAGGTTTCCTCACCATTCACTTTAGAAATTTAAAAATAGAAGAGAAACCAACTCACTGACGAGAGAAAAGCGCCGTAGAAAAAAACTCGCGCTCCCGAGCGGAAAAAATAGGTCCGCACCGAGAAAAGAGGGGAACATAAGCACAACTTAGGGACTCGCTAAACCTTAAAGAATAAAAACATCCCGAAAATTGTCAAAAAGGATAATGTAAAAGGTTAGCGAGTATTGTCAAAAAATAGGCTGCCAAACAAATAGAAAAAGTTTATTGTTAGCAAATAAGTACGTAAATGAGGGGAGTGATCGCATTCAGAATTATGACGTCACCTCACAGTATAAAGACTGAACCTCAAGTGAAGACAGACAAGGTGAGCTTCTGATAGCAACGAGCTTAGTGAGCTTCGTAGCAGTGAACGATAGGATCAAATAGTTCCAAGGCGATTTTGAAGTTATTCGATTTGTGGATCGATGAATAGAAACAGTCTTGAGAGTTGTAGAAATAGGTTCCTAGTATATTGAGGTGACAATTAGGATCTTTAATTCATAAGAATTATTGTATATAAGTTAAGTCTTTGAATTTTGTCAAATTCCAAAGGGGAATAGATTTAAGTTAGAAACTAGATTGATTTGAGTTTTGTCGGGTTGATTCTTATTGACTTTCATTGAATAAATTGTTATTTGATTTTACTAAATTTTGTAAATAGTTTATTACTAGAAATTAATTAAATATTTGATTTATTATTGACGAACTTTGTCATTGTTTAATTTCGGTGCACGCTAAAAGTCCAGGCCTGGCACACTAACACGAATCCGCGTAAAGTACCTGTTAGGGAACGGCTATTTCTGGCACACAGTCATGTTGATAATCGTTGGAAAAGTCAGAAAATAATATAGTACTTTACAGCGTCATTGTTATTCAGAGTTGCTGGTAAATTCTTTAATGTCAAAGTGTTGTCACTATGTTGCTGTTTAATTTAAGAAGCTGATACAAGTCCTCTTCAGTAACAAGCTTCTCAAGCAACTCCTTTGAAATATGAGTCCTGTTTTTGGTTCTGTTTCAAATAGGCTTTGTAAGGTGATCATTGGATGGTATGATGAAAGGAAGAATTCTTCTGAAACTGAACAAAGTAACAACCTGTAGCTCAATTATTTGTGTCATTGTCAATAAGCCAAGCACATAACATAGCTTCAACATCTTGATTCGATCGCTCAACAGATCCTTGGCTTGCTGGATGTCTAGGCCTACCATTTACAATTTTACATGTTGGCCACAGGGATGTCAATTCTTGTATTACAGCTGCCATAAACTCACGGCCATTGTCACTTTGCAATATATGAGGACAACCTACTTCCAGAAAGATTTTTAATAGCTCCATTGCTACTTCAGCTGCTCTTTTTGAAGTCAACAGCTGCAGAAAGCTGAATTTCATTGCGTGATCCTGGTAATGTAATAGCCATTTGTAATATCTGTCTGGGGTTGACTGCAAGTCAACTAAATCCACATGGCATGATGGTTGAAGTCGCAGAACACAATTGGGCGAATGANTATATATAAATATATATATAATATATTTATATATATTATGTTATTTATATATTTGGCTGTGATAGCTTCTTCTATTCTTTTGCAAGTCCACAATGGTTTTTCTTTATCATGCTGCTCACTCAAATGCGTCCTGATAGGTTCATTGAACTGTTCTTCGCACACAAATTTGGTTTGAGTCTGATTTTGTCCTGTATTCAAAGCCATTATTTTGATAATCGTACGAATTACAAGGAAAATAAAATATAAATGCACGCAACTATCGTGATGTAATGATTTGTGCAACTGTGTGTGCCAGAGGTTGCTGGCAACTAGCCTGTTGAAGGGACAAGGAGGTGGGTAACTAGCACAAGCAGTGCTATGCAAGTCCTGATTTGTTTATTTTATCTTTTCACTAAAATAGTACAGGGATTTCATCAAATCACTTATTTTTTTCTTTTTTTAGGGAAAAGACTCTATAGAATTGTCATTTTAACATCTTCAGTGAATTGATCATCTGGATTGATCAAATTGGGGATTTGACCAAATCCCCACTTTTATCATATCCCTGCAACATATATAATAGATATGTATGATTCATTTGAATTCTAATTTAAAAAATTATAAGAAGTTTTTGGCTAAAAAACCAGTAATTAGGTAAAAAAAATTATTGTAGATATTTTATTAAGATAATTGTTCTAAAATTACAATCTTTAGTTATACAAATTAAAATTTATGGAATCAGTCTGTGAAATTTTTTGTGGACTGGCAGGAAATTTCTGTGGATTGGTGCCAGTCTGCAGACCCAAGATTGGAGAACACTGGCATAGAATTAAATCAATTGTAAAACAATTGATTTAATTCTATACCAGTTGTAAAACAATTGATGGCTAGACATTTCTGATATGCAGAACTGGGTTACTTGTTAGATTGGGGAAAATACAGTATATGAAATATTTGTTTTAAACTGACAGTAGGCAGTAGAACAGCCAATTTTATCATCATTACCTTCAACAATTCCAATCATAAAATCCAAATTGTTATAATCATTCAAAGCTGGTTTTTATTCTAAATTTGCCTGATTTATTAAGCCTAATATTAATTTTAAATTTATTCATTTTTGAGGAAACTTCTGCCAAATTAAGGTTGACCAGAAGGACAAGATTTAGCAAAAGCTACTTAAAGTTCATGTCAATGACTTTATAACTAAATTTATTAAATTTAGTTCTGACTTTATACTGTCTGTGTTGGCAGATTTTTTCTCAAAAATTAATAATTGAACTAACAATTCAAACATATTTTGTTAGTGCATATATGCTTTCATTAAGAATTAAAATTTGGCAGTTATTATTTTATATTTTCTAAATACATTATGCTATATAAAAAAAGTTAAAACAGTTACCTGCTGTTCCTGTGTCGGATAGTTTTCTGGCTCAGAAGTAAAGTGTGGATATTTGGGATCCGAATAGTCAAAACACCATTCGCAAAAATGATTTGCTAAGTCAAAGCCCCTGCATAATTTAAAAAGTTTATTAATAAATATTTCTTAATTCTAGTTAAAAAAATAAATTTTATATTTATAGTTTCATGATTACTTTTGAATATTTTTTTCAAATTTAAAACAATATATTCTATATTTTTATCTAAATACAGTTGACCCCCTATAACAATGTTGATTATTCTGTTTTATATGAATTCCATGTTGTATGAGTCACTTAGATTTTACAAATACGTGAGCCATTCACAGCCCTGTATTTGTAAAATCTAAGTGACTCGTACATGGTTCCTTTCTTATATTTGCTAAAAATTTCTAAAAACAAATTTCTTTTAAAAATTTACTTTCATATAGGATTAAGAGATGACAATAGCCTCTGTGGGTGTTCTGCATTGAAAGTTCTAATATTCAAATACACCATGATTGGTATGTATGAGGCTTTTTCTCATTGTGAAGTTTGTGCTATTTATTTTAGTGAGACCAAGTCATTACACAAAAACTGACAATTCATATTTTTGTCAAAATATGAATGGATTGTACCTGTAAATGTGAAATTTCAATTTTTGGCATTGTAGATACTATTGGGATGTAATTGTATCTCTATTTTGTAATAGGCTTTGGAGTGTTATAGTAATTTAAAATTACTGTAATTTATGCAGATTTATACAAACCCATATAAATTAGTTATGTAATTATATAGTTATGTAATGTAAAAATTGAGTGAACTGTTTTCAGAGCAAAGCAAAGCATTGGAACATGAACTAACATTCTTGCAAACATGTATAAGCCCTGTTGCTACTGAACAATGAAGTCTTAAATAAACCATTATGCAAAACTTATGAGCAAGTTGCTCAAAAGTTTTTAACTTTGATTTTCTTGAAAAATATCAAAGAAACACATTTTTTTCACTTTGCTTTTTAAAGGTGTTACTTGAATTTCATAAACTAATGTGTTTATTATGACACAGCTTTCAAATTATTTCAACCAAATGAATCATTCTTTAGATTAAAACCAAAACACAAGAGCTCAGCATTTTCTTTCATTTCAAAGTGTAAAAATATAAACATACAGATTAAGTCCTGTAAATTTTGTATTTTTATTATTTTTTAACAGGCCACAATATCAAAGAACTGACTTCTACAATTTATCATAATAATTCTTTTATTTAACACACACTGTTACTAATTTTTACTTAAAAAGAATTGTTTGTAGCAGTTTCTTACTTTAATTTTAGAATTTTTATTCTTTGCTTTGTTATATGAAAAATTTGTTTCAAGGAGATTGACTTTTCATTTGATTCTCAATATATATTTTGATTAGATGATACAAAATTATATGGATAATAGTTCATGTATCTTTTATTAATACTTTTCCTCAATAAAAATTACAAGAATATTAAAAGTTCACAATTTTAGAATGTAAAATTTTCTTTTATGTTCCTGTCATAACTAAATAAAAGCATAAATGTATAATTATAAATAATTCATAATTACCTGTAATTATAACTGCAAAATTCAAAATCTATAAAAACAACCTTATCATCCGTTGCCTGCGAACCTTCAGGTCGAAGTATGTTACCTGCAATGATTTTGACAATAAAATTTTTAGAGTTATTCTGGAAGAAAAGAAGAAAGAAGAAAACAGGATTTGAACCTGAAACTTCCATTTTTCCATAGACATATGTTGCCAGTTATGCTAGTAGGGTCTCTGTCCAATCTTTGCTTCTAAAGCTATACATTAATGGCAGATTATTTAGTAATACAAGTATATTGGGTAGTTGTCCATATACTTCACAGTACATATACATTCCAGGGTAAAATCATAAGCTGGCCGAAAGCCCTAGAGAGCTGTGCATGCTAAGTCGTCCCAAGTCAACACTGAGTGACCAGGATGGTTATTTATGTCCAAATTAATTAGTTAATAGCTTTGGAACAGAAGATTGGAAGGAGGTCTGAACAGCATAACTAGCAGTGCATCTGTACAATAAATATAGCTTATAAATAATGACAGAGTGTAAATGATATATTCCCTTTTTAAAAATCTTTTAATTTTTCAGCTGTCTTTTTTATTTGAAAATTATTTGTATCCATCAGATACATAAAATAAGTGAAACATTTAATGGTGAAAATGGCAATTCAGTTTAAAAAAATTTCCTAAGTATCATAATGTGTTTTTGTTATTTGTATCTAAATGGCAAACAAAATATTTGTAATAAAATTATACTTACTATTAAATATAAATAACTAAACAATTTCTAAAAATATTCAAATTTAAGAAAGAGCAGATATAGTTATATACAAACTTCATAAATTATCAGTAATAAGTCTTTGACATGAGTTACCTTAATTATATTAACTTTTCTTTTAATAATACCTAGTCTAACACCATGCATTTGAATGCATAATGCTGATCTAGGTATTGTTGCAAGAAAAAAAAATCTTTATCTTCTTCAATAATTTTACAAAATAATTAGTTCTTTTAAATATAGATGGAAAACAGTTTGAAGATTTTTTTATCTATAGAACTCCACTTACAAATTATAGATTAAAATATCATGTGGAAATCATTTGAAGATACACCTTTAATTGATTGATTTAATTGTGTTCTGAATGTTTCTGTGAATTGAATCCAGTGTGTAATCCCAGGAAGGGTAGCAAATCTTGGATCTGTTAGGCTCAGGCTCTTACCATCTGGCTGCCCTCATTGTGGGTCTAGCCACTATGAACATGAAATAATGGTCCTCATGTGTCCACAGAACAGAAAGGGTTAAAAATTAAAAAAAAAGAACAAAATATGTAAAAGTTGACATTGAGGAGGACACACCCAGAAATTTGCATGTTATGTATGATACACAGAAGTGCAGAAATATTCTGTTATTTTGTTTTACACAAAGTGCTAATAAGTCATTAGACATTATATGAAATGCTTAGTGACATCTGTCTAATTTAATCTGTTTCATCTGCAGAAACTAGGTTAGTATTTCAAGAAGTGACCAGAAAAACTAGAAGATTCTGAAACAAATGTTTATTACAGGATGTGCTAGTAGTTTAAATTTCAATATGTAGCTACAACATATATAAAGTATATAGTTACAGCAAAAAAGAACAAACTTTTTCATTCTGTTTTGAAACAATTGGTCATAAATTGCTTTGTACAAGAACAAATACAAAAAACTAATAATATCAATAAAATCATCATTATTTACCTTCTTGTAAGTCATTATGACAGAAGAGCACTGGTGATTTTGCTTGCTGTAGATGATGTCTACAAGAAGAAGAAAAATTAGTTAGCAAAATGATAATGGCTACATTATTAATTCTATTTTGCAGAATTGACTTATACAGTAAAACCTGAATAAAACAGAAATTACCTAAATGGAAATGGAGCAATTTTTCTACGTTAGGTTCTACTATAACCCGGAAACCTGTAATGCACAAATGGACAGTTTTGGCTACAAAAAAACCTAACTTAATTTAAAGAAAGCAAAAAGTTAAGATTTCATTTGTAGACAATTAATAAACTTGCCTCTGGGTATATGTGCGAAATGTATTCATAGAAGGATTTTGAACCTTTTCAGAGAAACAAAGGTCAAGTGATAGAAACCTAATGGACACTAGATACTTGTTAATATTAGTCTTTGTTGAAATTAATCAGAGTCAGAATCAAGAACTTTCATTAATCGAACAAGTTTCTGAGAACAGAAATTGAGAAAAAGCAACGAGTACAATTTGTTAAAAACACAGTGTATTCTTTACAAGGCAAATTAGCAGTTAGTAATGAACTAGTATTGAATATTTGAGTTGATTAACTTCAATCTGTAATTACCAGAATTGTTAATGACTAATTGGAGTATTAAATAAGAATAAGATTATTCCACAGTTTCACTTTGAGTGCATTACACACAACAAATTTTAATTTAGTGTGTATATTACTATAATGCAGTTGGAATTTCTGACAGTAGAGCAAAACACTAGTTATTGTAAAATCACTTACGTGTTGTGGCGTTACCATGGTGAATTATTAATATATAAATATAAAAAGTTCACAAGTACTTTCTGTACCTATCTAACCTTTACTTTACCAAACAATGTGATGCAAGATTTCTACATCAACAATTAGGTAAAATAGCCTTTATAGCCAATAAAAAAGTAAGTGGATATAGAAGGAAACTCCACAAGAAAGTCCTATGGCTACAAGAAAATTCCCACCGAAAGCAAGCTAGGAAAATAGAGATCCCTTATTATAATTATACTAATGTAACAGTTCCAGAAGAAATTCATCAAGTGTTAACAAAGGGACCAAAACATATACCAATCCCAAAGCTTGATTATGCACAATTAATTCCTTCCATGATAGCAGCCATTAAAAGTGTTACAAGTCCGGAATTACAACCAGACTTAGAATTAACAGCTATCACCAATATAGCAACACAACGCTACATAAAAAACAATAACATGGGAACGAAAATGACTCGGTCCGTCAAATTATTTCTTACATCCAATAACTTGAATCTACTGGTGGCTGATAAAGAAAAGAGATTTGTGTTGTGTAAAAAACACGATTTCATCTCAAGAGCTAATGATTTCCTGATACAATCTAAATCCATTCCTTTGGATCAGGACCCAACCAACACCGTTTTGTGGAAAACACACAAGATCATAGCTCTCCCAGGGATTACTTCGTCTTTGGCAGGTCCTCTACAACATCCAAAGAATACGGTTTGTCCCAGATTATTTTTTTAAGTGAAAACACATAAGCATGATTGGCCTTTACAACCGCTCGTCAATAAACGCATTCATCCAACATACCATCTTGAAGCCGCCACAGCTAAATTACTTACATCCTTAATACCTCCTTCTAACTTGGTGACCACAGTCTCTATACATGCCAAGACTGTTATTTCTTCTACTCTAGCAGATCTTCCAACTAATGCATACCACTTTTTTAAAGTCAATGCCGTTTCCTTATTCCCATCAATACCTCATTTCGAGGCCATCATGCTCGCTAATACATTGCTACTTAAATCTGGCTTCCCAGTCTCACATGTTATACATTTATGCAAAGCCCTTTTACTTATAGCGGAGAACAACTATTTTCAGTTTAGTGGTACTATATATAGACAGACACAAGGGGTACCAATGGGATCTCCACTTTCACCCATCCTAGCAGAGCTAATCATGCGCAACATAGAACGGCGAGTCTTTGACGCCCCCCTAACCATCCAATACCCCACCTTATACTTACATTATGTTGACGGCATTTCAATCGCATGGGAGGGTTCCACCAAAAATTTAAAGCTATTCATAAAAATGTTGGCTTCAGTCTATGCATCCATCAACTTTATGCTAGAAGAAGAGTCCAATACCAGAATGCCATTCCTTGATCTAGAGATACATAAATCTCCTGATCTTCAATTTTCCGTTTATCACAAAAACAATAGTATACCACAGATTATTCCTGCTATGGCCTTTCAACCAACACACTATCTAAACTCACCTATCACTTCCCTTATGAGAAGAGCATTCCTTCTTCCTTCTAGCACAGTATTTGTAGAACAGGAAATGCAACTTATCAAAAAAGCAATGATAAAAGTGGGCTATTCCCAAGCAAAGTTTTATCATCTTCGCAACCGAGTTAAAAATAAATTATATCCACAATCATTCCTTACTAACAAAGAGGACCTAAGGATAACACATCCCCTATTACCATTTCTGGGTCCTGCATCACTCAAAATTGTACACTTGTTTAGAAAAAAATGGCTACATGCTACCACTATCCATGCAGCCAACATTAAGAAGATTGCTAACTAATGACAGAGACCCCATCGATATGAAAGAGAAATCAGGAGTTTATCTTATTCTATTACAACATAATGGATCAGGAGAAGATACTTATTATATAGGAGCGACTGCTAGAACACTAACATCATGCATCTCAGAACATCAGGATGACATCNAGATTGCTAACTAATGACAGAGACCCCATCGATATGAAAGAGAAATCAGGAGTTTATCTTATTCTATTACAACATAATGGATCAGGAGAAGATACTTATTATATAGGAGCGACTGCTAGAACACTAACATCATGCATCTCAGAACATCAGGATGACATCCGTAATAGCCAGCCATCAACGGAATTAGCCAGAAAAGTCCTTGATGAAAACTACAAGCCAGTTTGGGACCTAACAAAACTATTGAAAAGATGCAATAATCATAAAGAACTCTTTATTTGGGAAAACCTATATATTTCAATGCTTTCACAATGTAATACCACAAGTTTGGAAATCTCTGAAACGTGGACTACTTTATTTAAACACTACAAATTAGATTGCTAGAGCTACATGGTCGCATAGCAACCATAGTTTGCAAAATTTTATAATTTTCCGTTCCATTTCGAAACATTTTCAAACTGCAAGAAAATTTAAATATAAATTGGAGTTCCATTTATCCGCACCGCTTTTTCAAGAAGTGCTACAACTCTGATACAAAAAACTGTAATATTCATTTCACCTGAAGATGGTAACTATATGTTACCGAAAGTACTCATGAACTTTTTATATTTATATTTTAATAATTCACTGTGATAATGCCACAACACGTAAGTGATTTTACAATAATTATAAAGTCGGCATGAAGTGATAACTAATTTTATTATGGAAAACACTAGTTTTTGGCACTTCAGTTGGCTTTTTTACCATTGTGCAAACTCTTCAGAATTCATCTGAGGATTATTCAAATAGCTAGGACAAGTTCACAAGAATGAGAACATTTCAGCAGAAACTGATTCTAAGTTCTTGCATTCAAATACTCCTGTCTTTAGTTGGAATCACTTTATATAAAGCCTAATCTAATATATAATCGAGACGAGTTGATAATAATAATAATAATCAACGCAGAGCCCAAACAGTTAGGAGTTGAAAGTTGAAATTTGGTACACAGTTAGGGTACGTTAGGAGAACGCACACTAAGAAGGAATTTTTCGAAATTCCTCCCCACGGGGGAGAGGGACAGGATTAAGGCTTAACACTTTCATCAACAATGGAAGTGTTAAGTAACAATGGAAGTTTTAAGTAACAATAAAAGTTTTAAGTAACAATGGAAGTGTCAACAATGGAAATGTTACGTAACAATGGAATTGTTAAGAGAAAGCAACATGCAATACACAGATGCAGTTTTTTTCGTTTTTGCGGGAAATCGAACATATTTTTAGACCCATCTAAAAATTCTCTAATTAGTCTGGAAACAAGGAGACCCAATTCTTGCATTCTGTGAAAACGGGTAAGGTTGACTGTAACGTAATAATCTTTATCTTAGTTATCGTTACTTTTGCCCGAGCAACGCCGGGCCCACCTGCTAGTAATAAAATATTTCTACTATATAACCGAATGTAACTCTACAACATTTATTTGGGATAGCTTAAAGAAAAAAACTCCAAAAACATATTAAAAATGGAAAATATTCAGTGCGATACAATTCCAGTTTACACAAGTTTTACTGCAATAATAAATCAATTTAAATTGTATCTTACTTTAAATTAATTATTAATAATAAAAAGTTTAGAATTTTCTGAAATCAATAGAAAAATATTTGAACAATTTATTGAAGTTGGTTTTTAATCAAAATCTTTATCACAGATTTTGTGCAAAGAATTTTTCTTTTATTTTTTAACTTAACAACATTCAATTATACAGGTATATTTTAATAAACATTTAATTATTTTTGCAGCCATAAAAATAATGTTAAAAAACAAACTTAGACAGCAATCTTCACTTGCTCTTTTCTATTGGATACATAGATCTAGCAAAACACAGTTAACAGATTTTATTTTTGAACTTTTTTGTATCCATCTGTACAGTCAGTACCTTTTCTAGGGAAGTTTACCACGACAGACTAAATAATCTGAATTTGTCACTTGAACATAAAATCATCAAATGCTGAAAACTTAATTATAAAATAACATTACAAAATGGCTACTATTCAAAAAATTTAATTTTTATAGTATTTGGTTTTATTTTCCATGTTGGATCAGATTGATGGAATAAGGTATGGATGATTTGCTGAGGTGAGATGCCTCATTCAAGGACTTCACAGGAAACCAACCTGGTATTAGACAATGAAAAAAACCTAGAAAACTTCATGTGCCAGCTCGTTGGCAAGTAACAAACTCACAACCAACTACCATTCAACATTTATCCACTTGGTCACTGTTAAAAGTTATTTTCTATCACTGACCAAATAGTATGTGTGATTCATTATTGTTCA